AAAGCCAAAGAAAAATCGAGAATTATCAGCACTCGAAGATAATATTACAGTGATGTACAATCGGTCGTGATTTCGAAGTGACAAGGAAATCGATAGCTCGTGTCTTCGGTTTTTGTCGGTTCCTTTCTTTTCTAAACTTCCGCAAAGACGATAATACTAACGTTCCCCCGACGGTGCCTCGGGAACGTTTGTCGTCCTATATCGAAAAGCTTTCAACAGCTTTTAGCGAATTTTTATTAATTTCAACATTAATGCAAAATCGAATCAGAAAACTTTGTCCTAGCTTGTGTCCAGCTTGTGTGACAAAAATCAAGTTGGACCTTCGGCGATATAATAGAACGTTATGAAATTCCGTATCTCGGCAATGAACAGATACATCGGAAAGATGTAATGCACGTGCATGCATTTCTTTGCATCTGGAAAAGGAAAAGATAATTGTTCGATGATATTCTCGGCAGAAAAATCAAATAAAAATTTATTAAACTATCTATTCCACGCACACAATCTGTCGACACGAATTTTCAAAAGTTCGCATTCAGAATCATTCCACTATGTTCCAGCGGTCGAATCAAAAGAAACGAAAGGAAAGAATTGCTCAAGGTGGAAAATTGTATTTTTAAAAAGTGGTGTAGGGTCTGCTTATCTTAGAGTTTGTTCGAGTTTCCAAGTTCGAATCTCGACAGGCGTTAAGGAATGATGAAAAACAAAATAATACACAGAACAGTGCTTGATTAAAATTTGGAAATACGAATTTGCCTCTGGACTAAACTCCTCGAGAACAATAATTAATTCACCATCCGAGTAGATAATGATGTCAACATTCTGCCCACACGTCTAGAAATAAGCAGACTAATTAATCAGTTAATCGAAAATTTTTATCATCAATAAACAAAGCTTCGAATCAAAGTGAAATCCTTCTATTAGATGTACGTAAATTTCATTCACGTTCATCTCTATCGTTCATTTTTCTTTCATGCGTCCTATTTTTGAAATTGATCGTAATCGTACAATTAATTCAAAATTTCGATTATGTTGCGCCATAAATTTTTTAATAAATCTTGTACAGTCTAAACAAATGTTATCTATTAATCTATTTGCACAAAAAACTAAGAAAGTAATTTTTTCTAAGATATGCATTGTACAACGCGTACAACAAATTAAAAATAGGAACTCGAATATGATTTCGTGATGGAAACCGTTCAATTCTGATCGGAATATGTACAATAAAGTACAACAATCGCAATGTAATGAAAGATCAATAGAAGACACTTGACAATAAAAGAAAATTCAAAATTTAGACAGTGTAGAAGTCGAAGAAACAAAATTGCAAACTCAAGAATCAATCGATAATCGAAGGGGGGAGGAGGAAATGAAAAGCAGATTATGATTCGCGAAATATAGAGACACGAAGTGTGTACGATTTAACAGAAAAATATAAATATACACGAGACAACAAAAATCAGTGAGATGCAT